GGGGGGGTCGCTGGCGTCTCCCGGCGGCACCCGTTTCCAAAGCGCGAGCGGCAACGTAGCAAGCGCGGTCCTACCTGTCGGTACCACATGGCGGCCTCGTCCTTGCCGTGGTGGCCCGCCTCGCTCAGCTTCATCTTCAGCCCCTCGGCCGGGGCGGCGGCGACGACCACCACCTTGGGGTCCTCGCCCTTCACCATGATGACAGACTTGGCCTGCTCGAGCCCCGCCGCCTCCTTGGGCTTGACTTTGGCCAGCTCGGCGAGGGCGGGGGCCGGCGTCAGCGTGGGCGGCCCCGCCGAGGCCTTGCCCTCGGCCTTCTTGTCGGCCAGCCGCTGCCGCTCCTCGCACTGCTGCCGGTAGGCGGGGCTGGACGCCAGCAGGTGGGCGTGGTAGGCCTGGTCGGGCGAGTACGAGTAGGGCTGGCCGTAGTACTGGTTGTAGTAGAGGGGCGGGGGGGCGTAGACGTTGGCCCGCTGCTGGATGACCGACGGCTGCGGGGCTCCGGCCTCCGCCTTCCTGTCGTCCTGAGGCTCCGCTTTCACCTTGACTTCCTCGGCCACTTCCGGTTCCTCCTCCTTCTTGGGCGCTGCCGGAGAGGCGGTCGACGCGGGGCTGGGGTTGGCGTAGGCGGCGGGGTAGTAGGCGTCATAAGCGGGGTAGTAGGCGGCCTCCTTGGCCGGCGGCGCTTGAGGGGGGAACAGCGCCTTCTTGGGTTCGGGCTCCGTTTTCACCTTGACGCCCTCCGCCTTTCCTTCGCCGTCCTCGCCCTCGTCCGAGATGTCCGAGTAGGCGGGGCTGCCGGTCTGAACCGACACGCCGTCCGTGCCGTTTTGGCCCGCGGCGCCATCTGCCCTGCCACCGCCGCCGCCCAGGGAGGGGCTGGGCGCGTTGTCCGAGAAGCTGTAGACTTTGTCGGCCGCCGCCTTGATGCTGGCCAGTCGGCTCTGCTGCGCTTCCGAGGAGCCGTTGAGCAGGACGTCGCCCGCCTCGGCGTAGCCGCCCTCCTCGGGCCGCGCCCCCTTCGGGCTGTCGCCCTCCCGCCTCTTCTTGTCTTTCTTCTTCTTTTCTTTGGCGAGAGGGCTGGAAGCGGGGTCCAACAGCAGGGCGGCTTTGGACTGTCCGTTCTTCGGGTGGGCCTGCGCCGCCGAGCCTAGCGAGGGGGAGGCGGCCGGCGAGTTGTAAGAGGCGGGCACGGAGGGGCCGGCGGGTGGCATGGGCCGACCGGGCTTCGCGCCCTTCGGAGTCATTTTGTCCGTTTTCCCGCCGGCCGCCGTCTTCCTCGCCTTCCTGTCGTCCACGCCGTCGTTGCTCGCCTCGTCCGTCAAGCACTCGGCGTCGGTGCCGTCGGGCTCGCCCTCGCCCATCTTCTTCTTGCCCGGCTTGTGCGGCTGCTTCCCCGGCGACGGCGAGGGGGCGTCAAAGCCCCGCCCTTTGGGAGTGGCGGAGCGGGCCGGGGAGATGGCGGCGCCGTTGCAGGAAGCGGCGTCGGGGTGGAGGCCGGACTCGTCGCCGTATTCGCTGTCGGCGTCGTGCTCGTGGGGACGCGGCGGGTGGTACTTGTCGGCGTCGTGCTCGTGGTGGGCGCGCGCCTGGTGGTACTTCAGACCGTTGACGTGCTTGTACTTCTTGTTGCAGTTGGGGTGGGGGCAGTCTATGAGTACGGGCGAGGGACACGCACGGTCCAGCGAGGGCGGGGCTTCTGACTTCCCCGCGGGGAGCGAGTGGGCGGCACCGGTGGAGTTGCTCCGCATGCGCTTGGATACTTTGGTGTCCTCGGAGCTGGAGGTGGGCTCCATGTCAGAGGCGGGCTTGCTCTTCCTCTTGGCGGACGAGGGGCTGGCCTTGGCGTCCTCCACGCCGCCGCACGCGGCCCCCGCGCTGCC